GGAAGACAGGCTAATTAACATATCAACTTAGACCCCGAAAACCATACACACTTTCTCGGATAAACTTAGATCCCGAAAACTTTACCTACTTGCTCATATCCGAATCGCATATGCCATTTTATTTTAGATTGAATTTTAAAAAAACGTGCAATGTTACCAGGAGATGCCCTGTTTATTGTTATGATCCGTGGCTCGGCTGCTCCACCCACCGTATGACGTATTTGCAAATTTACAAGCCCGAGTCTGGACGGTAACGTGAGGGCGCTTACGCTGATGGCAAGTTTGTTGGGATTTCGCGGTCACATGATTTCGCGTCAACCCTCGTTTACTCAATTTATACTTATTTTTCCAGATTTTTTCATCGCAATTGCAACAGACTGCAAGCAAGTCTACGATCTATGAATAAAACAAGTGTTCTACACGTATAGCAATATGGACTTGTTTTTTTGTGTTTGCATATGCTTAGTGTAGAGAAATCCAATCAAAATTTAAATTTAAGCAGAAGCAGCAGAATTGTATGAAGTTTTCATAAAGTAAACAAAAACAAACTGCTTATTTCCAACTTATGTCCCATGTTATAAAACATTCAGCACTAAACGAACACTATTTTAATACGCACTTGTCGTGCTCTGGCTAGTTAAAAAGAAATGCGTGTGGAGCAAATATAAATAATCAAAGAAACAAATAGGTATTTTAAACTGTTGAATCGTTACTTGTGGTGGATGTTTTAAAATAAAAAAAAAACGGCTGTAAATAAAGTACATTATATCACAAATCCTGGTCTAAAATACGTATATAACATCTCAAAGAATTGTATTAAATAGTATGTTAACGTGCATTGCTTGCTGCAGAGCATTACATCATACGCTGCTGTCTGAACAATGTATGTTTTTTGTCAAGTAAGTTGGTCATATTAGTGAATAACGTGTCGAATTTCCAAAGAAAAGATAAACAAGATAGCGGATAACAATTTTACATCATTTTGTTTGTAGTTTGGAAACAGCAGACACAATTAAGGTGCCTACTTCACCGGGTCAACACACGTGATGTTTACGTACCATCTACGTTTTGTAAAGTAAATTAAACCATAGACCAGAGGGTCTAGGATTAAACCAATGATTAATATGGTGTCATATGCTTTCAGACACACCTTGTCTTGCTACGTTGGGTGTATTGTTCGGATGCATACATGTGAGACTAGGAATTGTTTGAGGATAATTGATGTGTTTTTTTCGATATCATGTGAGGTTAAAAGCATTTTGAACTGCAATAGAGTCGAATATGAACAACGTCTATATCTGAAATTAATAATAACAAAACACAACTCAAGATAGACCATACAACATACAAAACCACAGTGCCTCAGACCATTGGACATTTACAAAAAGCCTAATTTCTAGGGATATGTTGCAAATTTGCATTTACTAATACTTGGAGTTAAAATACTCTTATTTTTGGATATGCTTGTGTGCCTGATGTAATATTTACAGATCTCGCAAAGGTGTATGAGTTGCATGGGCGGATTTACCAACCAATAGGGCTTCGCGCCATCGGCGCTTGCGAACTTGGCCTTCGGCCATCTTATCGCTCCCCCCTATTTCAGAATTCTAGATCCGCCCCTGAGTTGTGTAATAATTGAAATGAATTTCAAATCATTCAACCCCGATGCTTTCGTTGATTTAGAAAGATGTGCTTAAGGTAGCGAGAATATTATTTGCATACTTGTTTTCTTCTAAAATATATATTTTAATAATCGCCAGGATTCACTCCTTTTAAAATGTTTTTTTATTTCAGTATCTGCATTCTTTGACGCTTTGCACGTTCATATATAAAATATTAATTGTCCTGAAAAAAAAATTACACAATTATTGGCATTGAGTTTTTTCCCGTTTCATAGTAGATCAGAGGTCTGTCTAGTCCAAACCAGTCCGCTGTTTGACCACTGTATGCGACCGATCCGACACAAAAGCAACCAGTAGTAAAAGCGAAGCGATTCCCATGAGGCATTGTTCCCAGGGACGTATTTCTCATACCATGTCACCCCCATTGGTGGCTTGTTTGACAGTTACTCGTCGCTTCGGACACAGGTCAATTACTGTTCCAGTCTCTGCACTGTGAAAGAAACCCAGTGAACACTCCAAAATTTAATATATACTAATATATGCAGGTTTGTTTTCGAAAAATGCGCTACGCAAATTACCATCACCATTGTTTACAGCTGTAACGGCACATTCTATAGTCTATGTGTGTTTTATATTCATTGAGGCTTGAACAAGACACTATAAGCTGATCACGATTCGTGCGTTTAGAAGCAATTCATCTGATTAATTAAACGAATAATGGTTCTGGAACATAAAATAAGATATTACTCGCCTCATTTATATTTGATGCAATTATGGAAACGTACATAAAGTAAATAACACGAGGTGTATAATGAATATCCCGATTTGTTGCGTTTCCTACATACTTGGTCGATGATGAGTTTGCCTTCAACTCTGGCGTCACGAATAGCATGGTAAATCATGATTATCCTATTCTTAGTCAGGCGAAGTCGTCGTATTGCCCTCACAGACATGTGGTATTATTGAAAATGAGTAATTATAAGTAGCATTGTCAAATATTTCAAGATTACTTGCAACTAACATTGTTAACAAGACCATAATGTGCATCGCGAATCATTTTTCAAATCTCACCTGCATCTGAAGCAGCGTTTCGTGCTTGCATTGTTCGATAAGCGAGAAATCCAACCCCGGCAAAAGCAGCCAACAGCATAAAGGAAGTTATTCCGATGAGCCAGTATCTACCCTTCGCGGACGTCTTTTTCTCTTTTGCCATCATGTCTACAGATGCCTGGTGAGTGTGTGCTTCAGTGTGATCTGTGTGTTTTATATTCACTACTGTCCATTGTGTTTATATTTGCATAATATAGCATGTAGCTATGCCAGAACATAATAACAAATCCTGTCTCGGGTCATTCAAAAACGTCGTGGTGATTTGTCACTTACAAGTAACGAGTCTGGATAGTTGGATAGTTAGTTGCTTTATTCGTGCGCATAGATGCGTGCTTACTGGGTAGTCTCAGAACACTAAATATTATCTCCGGGATCGTATGAAGGCCACATCTACAAAAGAACACTAAAAGCTACCGAAACCTTTGAAATAGCACTGGTGAATGTTGTTTACATGTGTCCACTGAACTAAAACGAAAAGACTGATGTTCCCAATTCCCAAGGTGCTTGCCTGACCGGCAACGTATATCAGATACGTATGCAGATATAGCGTGATTGATACGTGATTATATGTTCCCATCGTTGTTTATTAAGTTTGGATATGTTATTTTTGTCTCCAGATATATGTCGCCAGGTAAATGGTTACGCTGTAACCTATGGCGTTACGCTATAAGTTACAGTGTGCCGTAATT